TTTTTTTTCTCTCTCTATTTCTGTTTCTCTCTTTCTTTCTTTTTTCCTTTTTCTGTTTCTGTTTCTCTCTTTCTTTCTTTTTTCTTTTTCTGTTTCTGTTTCTAATTCTGCTTCTTTCTTTCTTTCTTCTTCTCTCTCTCTGTTTCTGTTTCTCGTTCTTTCTTTCTTTCTTCTCTCTCTCGTTCTCTCTCTGTCTCTGTCTCTCTCTCTCTCTTTCTCTCTCTCTCTCTTTCCCTTTCTCCCTCACCCCTCTCCCTCCCTCCGTCCTTCCTCCCGCTCTTTCCCTTTCTCCCTCATTCTCTCTCTCTCTCTCTCTCTCTCTCTCTCTCTCTCTCTCTCTCTCTCCTCCTCCTCCCTCCTTCCCTTCATCTCTCTCTCTCTCTCTCCCTCTTCTTCCCTCATTCCTCTCTCTCTCTCTCCTCTTCTCCTCCTCTCCTTCTCTCTCTCTCTCTCTCTCTCTCTCTCTCTCTCCTCGTCCCTCCCATCCACACACGTCCTTACCCACACACGGAGGGAAAATATAACTCCCCTATCACTTTCCCCCAAAAGTTTACAGACTCACCTGTTTTTTTATACGAAGAGAAATCGGCCTATTGTAAGTTTTAGACAAAAACAACAACAACAAAAAAACGGAATAGCAATAACGTGGATATAACAACCGAAGGACCGCCGAGCATCAAGGTACGTACTTCAGCGAACAGCATCCGTCACGCGAGAGATCTTTGAGGTGGAGAAGACCAAGGACGCGAACTGATGAGGAACTTGAATCAACGGAACACGCACGCACTTGAGTGGGTATGTGTGTGTATGTAGGAATGTGTATATATATATATATATATATATATATATATATATATATATATATATATATATATATATATGTGTGTATATACACATGTGTATACATATAAGTATATATAAATATATATGCACACACACACACACACACACACACACACACATACACACACATATATATATATGTTATATTTATATGCATTTATATATGCTTATGATTTTTCCAGTTGATTATCGAGAATAAGCTCAACACCATTCTGATGACCTACGCAAGGCTTTGTCACCAACACAAATATATGACACCACAGGCATTTAAACCAAGAAAGAGTTTCCAAAATAGTATCTCAGTTCAAGTCCCAATGTCATGGCGTGTCTGAACCGGTCATAAGTACAGGCTGCGAAGTGGCTCTCGGTCCACGAACGTATTTCAATCCGTGCATCATAATTTGGGATAGAGTTTCGTGAAGAGGAGGCACTGATAACAAATCTCTCGCTGGATTGAGGATGTCGAGTGTTGTAAAAAAAAAAAAAAAAAAAAAAAAAAGAATCCTCACGAACTTCGAGAGATGGTAAGGAGAGTAAAAAAAAGAAAAGCAAAATAAAAAAAAGGGATTTGTATTCTATTTCTCCCAGACTTCGTGATTCCTTGCGTCAGGCGGTGGCTGAATCTCACGATCTTGGAGGTACGCGAGACTTCCACCTGGAGAGCAAGTTTAATGTTGCCTCAACTGCCGTCGGGTGAGGTCGCTTTGATCCGACTCGCAGCCATGTGTGAGTCTATCGTGTAGTGTGTATATATATCTCGATCGCATCTCCGTCATTAATGGCTAACTGATTGCCTAAGGATGGAGAAGTGTCTACGAAGATCAAAAGGGATCACGGTCTTCAACATCATCTTGATAAGGATGATAAAATGACACTCCCGAACCCCCTAAATTAAGAAGCTAATCGTTCGGCAATAGAATTTCAAACACCAGAAACCGTCCTTCTGCCACTCACGTTCTTGCATCACCACGGTTTGGAATGCCAAGGAACGAGTGCCACTTGAGCGCCCCGCATACCAGTGCCACGCCGGAGGAGTGACGCACTGACCAACGCGGTGCCGGACCATTGGCACTCGAGACTTCCATCAGATTTCAACGAGAATAATAGGACGTTTCGAGTGACTTCTGTGAGGATGTCAGAGGGGATGTCAGGAGCTAAGTCCAGTGCAGAGAAGGCCAGGCAGTCACGTGTCTAAGGGGGAGTGCCAGTCGAGTAGCACCTTCAAGAAGTGAGTGTCGAGGAGGAGAAGAAGGTGGAAACTGAAAATGCTTTAACCTCCACCGCATAAAAAAAATCGTAAAATTGACTTACAAAACTGACGACATCAAAACCGAAGTGAAAACAACACAAAAAAAAGAAAGAAAATCACCCAATCTGAACTTGAACCTCCCCCCCCCATAAAAAAAGACAAAGAATATATATAACAAAACCAAAAACCCAAACAAACAAAGGACATAAGAGTGACCAAAAAAGGGCATAAGAGTGACCCCCCCAAAATAGGGCATAAGAGTGACCCAGGAAAAGGTGCCCCAAAACACAACGAAAATGGTGGATGGCCGAGGAACCGAGTCTCAGAGGCTAGACTGCGAGGTGGGGGGCGTACATCATGTGGTGTACAAGTGCACGCCGAATGTACACCACATCATACGCACACAAGGTAAGAGGGTGTGTGTGTGTGTGTTTGTGTTTGTGTGTGTGTGTGTGTGTGTGTGTGTGTGTGTGTGTGTGTGTGTGTGTGTGTGTGTGTGTGTGTGTGTGTGTGTGTGTGTATTTTGAAGTAGTTAAGAACAGATTAAGTTATGTATGCCTGAGAGATTTTTATCACTCGAGTATTGTTGTCTGTCATGCTTATTTTATTGTATTTGTATTTATCTATTTATCAAAACCGAATACTATTTCCTTTCTCAATTTATGCAATTTCCCACGTATCCAAATCCCCCCTTTATAACATCTATAGCAAAAAGAAATTAAGAAAAAAAACTCAATTATCTCAGCTTGCATTCCTCGTCCTTAAAATGTGTGACCAAATGACTTTTTTTTTTCTTTTTACTTTTTACTGTCACTGAAGGTCTAGCCGCTTCTTCCTCGCTCAAAACTAAATACTTCCTCGTGTATTTTTTTTCGTCACTGTTTCCTCATCGCGGACATGTAATCTTGCAATTCTGAATTCGAATAATAACGCACATAAACGTTACGTCACGCGCATTCCCATTGGCAAGTGCGTTTCGGTTCCGCAAGTAAGCGCAGGAGGGTGTTATAATTCTGCGGGTATGCTCGCCGCGTTTCAAGGTGAGGTATAAAGAACTACGTGAATATTTCATTTCATTTGATACATTGGAAAATATACTAGTACTATACACTAAATTTACTTTGTAAAATTGCTGTAATCATAGAACATCGTTATGTTAACGGTGACAAAAGCATATCAACTTCATATTCTTTTGCATGATATATGATTTATGTTCTTATTTCAAAATGTACAATTATAGTTATCACAGCATACTGTACTATAACCTAGCCACTGGGTGGGCAAGCCAGCCAAAGTCAGTGCCGGTCCAAAGCCCGGGTAAATAGAGAGGGTTGGAGTCAGGAAGGGCATCCGGCCGTAAAAAAATATCTGTCAGAACCTCATTATAGCGACCCATTACAAAAATGGGACAAAGTTACAGCAAAAGAAAAAAAGACTATATTGCACTATGTCGAATATATGTAAAACTCTGTAATCACGATTACCCACGCCAAAGTGATAAATAACCGCACTTAAATCAACTTTATTAATTTATTTATTCTATAAATGATAAGTACATTAAAAAAATATTACCACCTCCTTGTTTCGGAAGAAAAGAAATGTAAAAAAACGTACGTTGCATTGCATAAACTCACTTGCAGATTTGAATGTATCTGCTAAAAAAACCTAACAAATCACTAGCATACGTGCATTTCTACTCATATTTAGATATATGACTACATTTATTAGCAAACAATGCGAATATATCACATATGAAGAATGAATCAATTGATACATCTATACGCTTATGAAGTATATTTGCAAGCATTCATTGCCCTCCACGTTAAATGTGATTATGCAAATCCTGCAAGCAATGGGTAATGCAACACCAAGCTCTCCGATGCGGTAATAATGCACGCCCCCGGATGCACCCAGGCCACGTGGATGTCCCTAGGATGTTGCACAAAGGAGAGGATATTGATTGATTGATTGCAGCATCCAATCAACAGCTCCTTTTTTGAATGGTAACGACACAGGTGTTCTCGTGGTTTGGATTCTGCGCCCTTTTCTCCTTCTTTCATTCTCTTCCTCTTCCTTCTTCTTCTCCTTTTCCTTCTTCTCCTTCTCCGTGTCCTTCTCCTTATTCTCCTTCCTCCTCCTCCTCCTTCTCCTTCCTTCTCCCTTCCCGGCCCATTTTTAAAAATCTCTTTGGATTTTCTTTCTTTCCTTTCCCAATCCGGCTTTCTTACACTTTCCTCTTCCGCCTTCCCTATCCAGTTCTTTTTCCCTTTCCCTTTCCTTCACTTTCCCCTTTCTTTATCGCTTCCCCTCCCCCTTTCCTTTCCTTTCCTTCTCTTTCCCTTTCCCTTTTCCCTTCCCCTTTCCTTCCCCTCCCCCTTCCCTTTTCCCATTCCCTATCTACTCTGTTTCCTATCTCTCTCATTTCCTTCCTTTCTCGTCATTTCTACCCCCACCCTTACCTAACCCCTCCCACCCTCCCTCTCCCCATACCTCTTCACCCCTACCTGATATTCCCTTCTCCCTCCCTCCCCCTCCTCTCTTCATTTCCTCACCCCTTTTCCCACTCCCCTTCCATCCCCTCACCCCCATCCACCCCCTTTCCTCTCCTCCCTACTCCCCTTCCATCCCCAACCTTCTCCCCTTTCCCCACCCACCCCCATCTTCTCCCCTTCCCTCCCCTTCCCCTTCCCTTTCCTCCCCCCCACCTTCTCCCTTCTCCCTTCCCTCCCCTACCCCCCCTTCCCCCCCCCACAATCTCCCTTCTCCCCTTCCCCCACCCATCCCCACCTTCTCCCCTTCCCTCCTTTCCCCACCCACCCCCACCTTCTCCCTTCTCCCCTTCCCTCCCCTTCCCCTTCCCCATTCCTTCCTCCCCACCCCCACCTTCTCTCTTCTCCCCTTCCCCACC